AAGGGCTGATCTACACACTACCATACTCCCTCGTCAAATGATCTCCCCTCTGTAAATGGCCATACCCCCGATTCTAATTAAAGTTAAAGGTCAGCCTTGTTTGCGAATCCTGCACATCGTCTAAATTGAAGGTGCTGTCGTGCACGTCCCCTTCGTTGCTGCTGAAGGATAAGAAATTAGTCGCCCCGTAAGTTTCGCGTAAGTTCCGTATCAGGTTACTGATATAATCCGATGAAATTTCCACATGATCATCTTCGGTTATGTTCAAAACAGTTTCTTCTCCATCTGTGCGCGTTTCGTTCTCGTTTTGGTTGTTTTCGAGTGGGGAAGCCTGACTGCTCTCCGCAGCGTCGTTATTATTTCCACCCATGTTAGTATCGTTCGGGACAGAGGCAGAGATGGTAGGGTTTGACGAGGTTACCCCTTCGCTTTGCGTCCGTTGGTCCGCCCCCGAGAGATTATTGTCGTCATCCGTAGGTGACACTGTGCCATCTGCACGAATGGAGGAGTCCTTCCCCCGCGGTGGTGCTCCGTTGGTCTTTCCATTGTCCGACACAAACGTAATGCTTCTAACCTGATCTTCATCATTGACATTTGCCCTTTCATCCTCGTTTACTCTTTCATCCTCGTTTACTCTTTCATCCTCGTTTACTCTTTCATCCTCGTTTACTCTTTCATCCGCGTTTACCCTTCCGTCTGAGTTTGTCCTTCTATCCTCGTTTGCCCTTCCATTCGCATCATATGACGAATTAGCTTTCTCGAATAGCAACAATTTAATATAAAACTTGATTTTCGAGTCTTCGCTTTCCTGGCGTTGCGGATCGTTGTTCAGGTAGTCAATGATCTTTTCGTAATTTATTATTTTGTTCATAAATTTGGAAAAGGAAAAGTTGTCCTTATCATACACTGTAGTTTTTAATTTTTTTGTTTTAAAAAACCCATCAATGTTTTCATCGTCCGTTTCGTCATCTTCACTGCATGACGATTCGGATGAGCTGGTGTACCTCCTATTTTGGGCATCCTGTTTCTCCAAGATGGAGGCATGTTCCCACTCGTCTTTGTTCTCCTGCTCATAGTACATATTGTACACGGACGCGTCTATGTTATACTTGTCGGACATATCGATTGGGTTCTTTTTCCTAAAGGAGTTGTTTCCGGCGCTATCTTGTTCAATGGTGCTTAACCGATCGCGTTGTTCCCCATTTTGGTCGCCATCGTATTCGTCAACATGGCTGCTTTGCTCCCCTGCTTCGTCCTTTGTGTTGACGTCTTGAAAGGGGAAGTCCTTCCAACTCCTTCCACTGCTGCGGATGGTGTCTCCGCCACTGTCGGGGGTGTCCCTTGACTCCTGCGACTCACTGGGAATGCCTTCCCCGGGGTCATTTATTGGTTTTTCCTCCTGCCGCGTGATGTAATTACTACGCGTTGCGCTTTCTTTATCTACATGATTGTTGTTTTCATTGGGATAAGTGCCATCCGGGGAGGTGCCACACGATTCGCCGTTGCCGCGAATGCGTTCAGGCGCACTGTTAGGCATGCTACTTTGATGATTTTTGTTCCCTTCCAATTGGTCACCCCCTGCTGACATGTCCTTTTTTTCCTTCCAGTTTGACTTCCCTCTTCTTCTCTCTTTTGGGGTGGATATACCTCCCCCCCTGTCAAGGGAGAAAAAATCTTCACCATAATTGTGACACCTTTTTATGGCATCTATTACACTTCTTGTGTCGTATCTTACTGCCTCATTTTTGGTTCTGCCATTAATTGGGGGAAAATATTTGTGGGGTATTTCTTTTTTCACATTTTCTGCTGTCATGCCTCTAAAATTTTCTAGGTTGCTTTTGATGTGGTGTATCATTTTTTCATCAATGAAATTTTTGCCCTTCAAAACAACTACAATTTTTTTTAACTTGAATTTTTCACTTTTTAAAAACTCGATGATGTTCTTAAAATAAATGTTGGGAAATATGGTAATGTAGTAATTTTTTGGATACAGCAATTCAATTTTATTTACCGTGTCTGCAAAATTGTACAAAATGTTTTTTATATTGTGAAACACCAGCCTTTCTGTGTGTTCCGATTCGTAATCATTAAAGGAGTATAAACTTTCGTAATTATAAATTCGGAGAAGCTCAATCGGTGGTTTGGCCCAAAATGGCAAATCTGACAAATAGGAAAAAAACGCATAAAATAAAATGTCATGCACTAGTAATCTGTAGGATAGCTCCAAGCCTCTGAATTTAGGATTTAAAACCGGGTCTTCACATGCGTATTGCAATATTCCTGAATCGTACAGCGGCAGGCAGAACTTGGGCAGAAGCCGTAAGAGGTATATATAATTACTGATTGGCTCAAACACCGTCTGTATGGTAAGCAATTTTGAGGAGTTGTAAAAAATATCAATCGTGGGAATCGAGTCAATACAGTTATCACTCATTATTTGATCTCTCGCATTGTACACTGGGTTAAATGTTCCTATGATATCGTTTTTCTTCCACATGGTGGGGATGTCATATGGTAAATCCATTCTATCTACGGTAGCAGCTTCTGCTTTGATATCCCTCCCTGTGGAGGGGTGGTTACTAACACACTTGGCGCTTTGGCTGTCCTCCCTCAGGTCATACCTCCTCTTCAGGTAAGTTTCCCCCCTTTGATTCTTCAACTTGTCTTGCACAACCATTTCTCTATTTTTTTCCTCCGTTTTGAAGAATACATCCTTGGGGCCAATTTCCTTCCGCAGAAGCCTTAAATTGATGTACTCATTGACATTGTTATTTATCTCCAAACTTTCCCTTAGATTTTGGTACTTAAATTGCTTATTGAGAAAGTAAAAGTCTAACAGAGGAAAGGACAAATCTCTCTCTTCATTTTTTAAATTTTTTAGCATATCATTTATTTCTTCTCTTTTTTCTTCATCCAAATTTATGTAGCTGAATTCGTGTACTTTTTTTTCATTTCTCTTTTCACTGTTGTTACTCGGCTCAAATTTAATCATTTTTTTTATTCTCCATCCGTTCGTGGCGAATAGGAAGGAGCGCTATGTTGGGTTTTTCCGGCGTTGGGCAAGATATACAAGGGGGATCACAAGGACGCGCAAGGTGACTGCAATGAGGGTGCGAAAAAAATGGCCCTACGCAATGCTCGTTGAATGCGCTTCAAATACGCCACAAATTTTGGTAAGAATGGAATAGACCGAATGTGAGGAAGACCAAAGGAAGAAGGTGATCCAAAAAAATAGTTAAAAAAACGGTTGCTCTTATTCCACTGGAACGTTTACACATTTGTCAACAAATATAGGCAGAATTTTTCCTTCTGTTTGGCCAGCTGAAAAAATATACGATAGAATAAATTTACAAGTTGTGCATTTTTAACCTACATTTTGGTATAAACTTTTCGATGTTTTTTTTTTTTTTCTTTTTTTTTGTCAAACATGTGTGCGCGCTTGTTTGTTTCCGGCTAGCATGATCATATATGACTAAACACAGAAATTGTGCCTTTTTCACCCTTTTGAACATAAATAGAATTTGTTACACTTTTTGATTGTAATTTGTCATTTAACTGATGTAAATACATACACGAATGTACGTTTCTTTTTTTTTTTTTTTTTGTAACTGTTTTAATTTTTTCCTTTTTTTTTTTTTTACAAAAATGAGGTTATAACTTTGCCAATTTGTCAACATCCGTCATTTAAAAAAAAAAAATGTCTCTTAATCAGCACACATAAATTGAAGGAGTTTTTTACTTGACCTTAACGTTAACCCCTTGTGAAAGCAATTTTAAGAAAAGTTTTTTCAGGGGTACACACCTTTACACATCTCTTCACCTCCAAACCAACGCTTCTACAGGTATGGAAATGTATTCATTGTAAATTTGAGCGGGTTTTCTCCTCTGGTTTGAACCTTAATGAATGGGCGGGGGGAATTCTTTCCTTTTGGCTAGAAAGTGCCCTTCCACTGGGAAAAAAAGTAAACCAACGGAAAACAAAAAAAAAAATAAAGAAATGAACGTAAAAAGGAACGCAAAGAAGGACGCAAAATTGAACGCAAAAAAGAACGCAAAATTGAATGCAAAAAGGACGCAAAATTGAACGAAAAATTAAAGCGAGGTGGAAATGCAGAAATGCCATGCAAAACCACTCAACACATCAAATGCCTTTTAATGGGTGGAACCTTTTTGTCATAACTGTAACATTCTTTCTCCCAATTGCAATGGTATACTGTGCTATAGGACAACTGCAGCTAATCATTTCTGCTGCTGGATACGTATTTGCATAATTATGTTTTTTTCTAACATAAATGAATATTCTTTGCTTTGCTCCAGTAGGATGCCACTTTATATCACACAGCGGCAATTTTATTTGCTATTTCAATTTTTCACAAGGAATGAAAACGGAAGGTAACAGTGACGTACATATTCATACGCACATAGTTAGCAAGAGATTAATATTATCTTTCTCTTTAACTTCAAAAGGTCGCACTTTTTTTTACGATGTGTTTCTTCAATTTTTTAAGAACGAGAGGGAACAAATTTAAAAATGCAAACGCCTCTTCTCATCCTGCTAATTATAAAAGGCGCTTCCTGCAAGTTTCATATACGACATGAAAGGATCAATCATAATTACGCGCACAAATAAATGCATATATTTAGCATGCACAAGGGCCTATATATAACCAATCTAAGTTAAAATCATGCCGACCGTGATGAATGCATATTTAAATAAATTTATATTTTACTAAAATGCCTTTTTTCTAGATAACATGCGCATTAATTAGAGCCCCCATTTTTTATCACATAGGCAAATGGTAACGACCTTTCAAAGGTCAAATTTGCACGATGTTGCGCGCGTCGGGAAGAACAAAACATAAAACAAAGAAATATATTTTTTTGAGCCACGTCGAATAGTAGGATATAAATATGGAGGGATGACATGACCCTGAGGTGTAGTGGAGGGGATGTAGGTTTCACAGAAACGCTTATCACGGATCACCTATATTTCTGCTGCCTTCATTTTCTTATATATCTAAGAATGCATATTATTATATACCGGGCAGGAAACACGCATAACGCTAAGTGCAAAATAACGTTCACCGAATTCGCTCGCTTGTGCGTCGCACCCAGCGTTGCACTAAGAAGGCACTTATTTTGTTAATCATAATTTATTCTTTATGTCGTTCCTTGTTATTCAGAGTTTGTGTTAGTTCAAAATATGTTAGAGCAAAAAATGGGAAGGCCAAGGGCACGAGAAGTAGAGCCCCGCGATAAGCATGCGCATACGCGAACGAAAGGAGGAGATTTCACGAAATTGCTTCAAATCATTCCAATGTAGAATTTAACAGGTATTTTAACATCACCGGTTTGCCTCTACTTCTTTTCTATATGTATGCAAATTTCCCGTTAGCGCAATTTTTTATTTAAGGGGGGACCCCTCTACACATTATTTATTCTTTTTACGCGAGTATACAATACAGCCCGTCTCTACATATAATGTGCCACAGGTGCAGTGGAGATGTTTTACTTTTTTAGAGGATCTAGGGATTTTCATCATTTGGCTACTATCGATTTTTCGCCTTGTATTTCGTGTCACAATTTCGCTTTCCATTGGCCATCTTTAAAAAAGCATCATTGTGATATTACGCGAATGGTTTAAAATGCGGCATTACCGCAATTTTTTTTTCAAACCGTGGGAAAAAGAAACGAAAATAGTAATAAAATAAACGTAAAATAAACATAAAATAGAGGTTAAATAAACATAAAATAGAGGTTAAATAAACATAAAATAGAGGTTAAATAAAATAAAATGAAAATTAAATAAAAATGGGATAAGTATAAAATAAATATTCTGCCCGCGACCTTCCCACTTTTTGTCACAAATGTATGCATATAGAAAAATTGCATAATAAGGCCGCGCATACAAGCTATAAGAATATAATTATGTACAATATAGTATACGACGTTACCCCCCTGGTAAATTTTCTCCACGTAACTAATCCGCTACAATACCTATTGGCAATATTATTTTAGGTGGCCATATTTCAAGGGGGGGTGTTCGGGAAACACTGCCGGAGCGTTATGCCTGTTTATACTTTTAAAAAAAAACAAATTGCATGTGTTTGCATGTTCCACTGTTTTGGCAGTATGGTTTTTTTATACTATACATTATAAATAAGTATGAAGTATGTATATTCATAATATACATACATATAATGTTATCTCCATGGGAGTATGGCAAACTTTTGGACGAAAAAATTCAAATATAAAAACGTGAGAGTAGTAATTAGCAAGTGTATGCACAAAGCGTCGCGGTAAAAAACTTCGCAATTGAATGCCTCCACATATACGTTTCATACCCATATTGCACAGCCGCGCCACGCGGGTCTTTTTTAAGCACTTCGTAGAAATTTTACTTCTCAAAAAGAAAGGCAAATTAAATAAAAATGAAATAATATACAATAATAATACACATACGGTACATTACGCATAAAATAAGTAAACATGTATTTCTCATTCGTCATTATGCAAATTAGCAAACGGTTGGATGGTGAACTTTTCTTCAAAGTCCGTTACTCAAATAAAATTTTTTTCATACTGCATATATACGCATATGAATACGGATACAAAAAAAAAAAATATATATATATATATGAAAAATAATAATATATTTTCTTTTTTTTTATTTAATTTAAAATTTTTAAATTTAAATACAAAAAACGCAAAACACATATTTTTTATAAACAAATTTTTTATCTTTAAAAACTGGATTTTCTCATACCTCCGCTTTTCCTGTTTTAATTAATCAAGTTAATTAAAGCTAATTTTGACGTTTATTTTGTTTTTATATAATATTTTTGAATATTATATAGGAATAAGGTGAACAAATATTTACGTATATTTTATAACGTTTTCCTGAAAAAGCAGTTTCGTACCACTTATACATAGTTATAAGTGGAATATGCATTGGGAGGAGTAAAATATATACATATAAAAACGTACGTAGCGTATGTATGACATATATATTTGCGTAAAAAGCTTTTATATATATTTATAAGTATCAGGCGCGCATAGTATGTATATTTTATGTATATATTTACTTGCAGAAATTTCAATAAATCGCGGTGTTATATATAATCTTTTGCAGAAATTTCAAATAGGATTTTGTTCATATGCGTAATTTTTTTTTTTAGCTGTTTCTTTTTTTCGATTGATTATACACGTTTAGTAATGCACAGTACCTATTTCTTTTTTAAGAAAAAACCATATTCGAAAAAGCGTAAAAAAGTATATCCAACTATAATTTTTTGAGTATTCAAAAGTTTTCACCGTAAACATGCCATTTGCGCAAAATTTATATGTGACTGATTGCCCTTTGCGCAGTGTATACATGCATACGTATGTATCTAACATATGTAGAATACGAATGTACATGTGAACAGCTCGCGGCGACGTGATCGGCCAATATCATCGCACTGACTGCGTAAGAAGGGGAAATTTTCTCGCGAGGCCCAAGCCAGTTGCCTACATTGTATGCCAAATTGACGTGTTCATAACTCTACAGAGAAGGAATAGGCTTTAAAAGCACAGCGCATTTCGCGAATTACGCACAAACGAGAGCAGCATTTGCTTGCAAACCACGTGCCGTTTCTACAAGACGTTTTTTACGTTACGGTATAGTGTACATTGTGTATAATTATACGTCTATTCCTTATTTTTTTTTTTCTTTTCTTGCCCATTTTGCGTGATTCCATTTCACTATATTGTATAGTTATCAGTATATATTTACATATACGTCCATTCTGTGCGCGCGCTGAAGGATACATCTTTCCCCCTGATACAGCCACCCGCACCACACACATGCACACGCGTTACCATTTTTTGCTTATATATTTCTTATTAAAAAGAATATAAGAATAAAATAAGCATACCTTCACCTCTTATATTATGCAAAAAATAATATATATTTCCAACTATAAAGATAATGACTATTACATTAGATAGCTTTAATGAGCAAAAAGTGCATAATAATCAAAATAAAAGAAAATATAATTGCAGACTGAATTTTAAAAGGTTTACAAAGAGAAGAAATAACTACAACAAAGATAATAGGGACAGCAAAATTAACATAAAGACAGCATTAATCAAAAATGAGGTCATAAGTGATGATAACGATGAATTTATAGATAGCAATTTGATGAGGACATGTCACCGATTTAGACTCTACAAGGACAGCAGCAACAAAATAGACATTTACTACCCCCATGATAAGAAGAAACTAGATAAGTATGACTATGAGAGGGACCAGACGTTCTGTTCATTAACCGACATAGAAGATGTTGTGAACAATGGAGATGACAGAAGCAGTAAATTTTTCTATTATAAAAATAAAAGTTTAAATGATTACAAGTCTTGCTTCGAAAAGAAAAACAAAAAGAAGAAATGGTTCCGATTGAGAAAGAAGAAAAAAAAAGACTACACCATGGAGGAAAGCCTGAAATATCTGAACGAGTCCGTGTGCTCAAATTATAAAGAAGCCAATAAGAAGAACCAATTGGATAACTCGTCCAAGTGCACGAAGAACTGCGTTATAACCACGACCGTGAATGGTATACGGGGCTTCACAGCTTGGATCTTCTGAATCCATCGAAGTGATCAGACGCGGACAGAAGTAAAATGGGAATGACAAGTGTAGTGGATTGAGGCGAGATAAAATAAAATAAAACAAAAAAAAAAAAAAAAATTGGATGAACCCCCTCAATGAGAGTGACATATTGTAACCCCGTGTGCGCACCGCTTAACTGTGTGCACCAAAAGTCAACTGAGGCAAAAGAGTCCATTTCTATATATTAAAAAAATTGATGTTTGCACTATATATACATATTTATATATATGAACAGTTTTGTATTATGCCACCAATACTCACCCCCCACCGATGATACATTTTCATGATGCTGTGAGAGAATGATACACACACACACAACCACCCTCCCTCCTGGGCCATGTTACTCGAGCTCTTTTCTTATTGCAAAATATAAAAGCAGAAATTACAACTTCTTTGAAGAAACATTCTCTTTTTTTTAAAACTGCAGGAATGTTTCATCTATATTTTTTTTAATGTTTTAATGCTTTAATCTTTTTATATTTTGCAATTTTTTTTCCCTCCACTCCCCCCATTTCTCTTTCTTTTAATTTTACATTTGAATTCCACAGTAAAAAAGCATCTATGTTGTAAATTATGTATAAATATAGTGTTTAAGTTGAATAAACCAAAAGAGTAGTAGCAGTAGTGGTAGTAGTAGTAGTAGTGGTAGTAGTAGTACTAGTAATGGTAGTAGTAGGCTTTTTTTCCATTTTTTTTTTAAAATGTATAGTATATATTTTTATACTTCTTTATCAATGTTTTTAATATAATTAATTTTTATATTTTTAACAAAAAAAAATGTTTTATTTTATTATATTTTTTCTTTATGAGTATATTACCGAAATTTTTACTGAGGTTTTTTTCCAGTCCACATTTTTTCACATATGTAATAACTTATTATATTTAACTACATAATATTTTATTATGTAGTATCTTTATTATATTTTATTACATAATTTTTACTATTATATATAATAGGTAGCTTTACTGTATAATATATTTATTTCATTTCATTGATTCACTTTTTTTTTTTTTTTCATATTATTACGTTAAACGCTTTAAGCATAATAATAAAGTGCATATCTAGCCACTATAACTTTTTTTTTTTAGAGTGTTAACTGGAGTTTCAAACGAGGTTTTAATAGCCTATATGTGTTCGATACGTTCTTGGGTGCTTAAGTCTTAAGCCCTACGCCATATCACATGGCATGTACCGCTGTCTTCATCTTCCAAGGCGTGTTACGGCTGTTAAGTGGCCAATTAAAGAATGTGTGCTCTCGATGTGGTGCGAGAATGGTGAAGAACTAGGCCGCCATGGGGCTGACTATATACTGTCCAGGTAGGAAAGCCTCAGCGGATTAGCTTAGCACATTTGCCTCTGCACTTGTGTGTGGTAAGGTAAGGCGCATTATAAGCAAACACATGCACATAGGAATGATAGGATTTCCCCCACCACCAAAAAAAAAAAAAAAGACACTTCGCGCAAAGGCTCCTTTTCCGTTTGGGGCTTATCGAAAAGAAGAGAATTTGTTCACAGTTGGGCTGTGTCGCGGACATACTGTACATATACCGCGCAGCGTGCACATTTTCTACCCCATGAATGTAATACGACAAATATGAAAGAAGTTCACTAAAGGAGTATTCACCCCGGTAGGAAACGGTTATCTTTTTTTTTTTTTCCTTTCCCCCTGGTCATATCTTGGACACACATTATAGTTAGCCTATAAAGACAGTTAAGTCTGTTGGCTGACTTTACTTTTCCTGCTTTTTTGCAACTATTCCGTGACGTTTTCATGAGGGTTCCAATTTTATTCGTACGAATAGGGAGGGAAGAAAAGGAAAGATTTTTCGTTTTTTTTACTGCACGTTGGCATACCTCCCCTTTGCGTTCCACCTATGGGAACTCACAAAACAATTCATACTTTTTCATTTTTTAAATTGGGGGCAACCTTCGTTCGTCACTCAAGGTATTTAGAGCGGAGAAACACCCCACAAGCATAAATGGTTATTCAATTCAGTGCAAATATATAAATACCTATGTAGGGATAACCCCCTGTGAACCTCTTTGCTGCAACTCCCCCTTTTTTAATGCCAACAAACTTGTCATTTTTTTTCTTTAATATGCTTCAATTTTGACACACTATGGCTTTTTTTAGAGCACATAAAATATACAAAAAGGGAAACTTCAAATGTAGCTATGAATTGGAGAAGCACATTTTAAGTGGCCACCTGGAGGGAGGACAGTTGCACGAAAGTGGAGAAGAGGAAGAGGAAGGGAATGAAAGTTATGAAGTTGGGGTAAAAGACAGATGGGACCCATGTGCAGGCTCTAAAAAGGAGGAGACAAATGAGCGAAGAGGCAAAAGGAATGATGAAGAAGGGTACGCAGAATCTCACTTGAGTGGTTCTACTGCCAATTCTATTGAAAATGAGGATAAAACGGAAAACAGGACAAATGTGGAATGTGAAAGCGGCGCTCAAGGCGTGGATGGAGACTTCCTATGGAGCGTGATGACCGCGTTGAACGAGGGAAAAAAAAGTCACGCAGTACGCTTAAGGGGTGGAGATGAACATGCTGAACAGGTAATAGACAAAATGCCTCAAATTCACTTAAGCAAAAAATATATCGACGTGGGATGCCTCGCTACTTGGAAATTGTCAAGCAGTAAAAGCAAATCGGACACGAAAAAATTAAAAGACAATAATGTGAACACATATTGGCAGTCCTCCGGCTTAGGACCACACACAATCACAGTACAATTTTTTAAACTTACGAAAATTTCCAAAATATATTTACTCCTTAATTATTCATTAGACGAATCTTACACGCCTTACGAAATATCCATCAAAGTAGGAAACGATGAAAATCGTCTCGATATTTTATGTAACACCTTTTGCGATGTGAACAAACATCCTGTTGACGATGCTTTCTGGTTTATTATTGACTTGGGAAATTTTCAACTCCACTCTTACTTTTATAATTACAATATGAATGCCTTCAAGCGTATGAATTTTATATACTGCCATTGCATACAAATTTGTGTCATGTCTAGTCATCACTATGGGCGTGACACTCGCATACGGCAGGTAAAAATTTTTGGTCCCACCTATCCTTTTTATGAGCATGATAAATCGCTCATTTTGTGAGGCATTACAGCGCTTGGGAAAATTATATACGAACAAATGGTTAACAGAAATTCATCTGTGGTGACAAATTGGAGTACGCGCGGAAAGAAGAAAAAAACAAATGCTGGAACTTTGTAAAAAAAAAAAAAAAAAAAATGCCTTGTTTTATCCACACCGCGCTGGGGAAAAAGACATACAAAAAAAATAACACTTGAAAAAAACTTTTATACAAGTAGGAAGATACAAACAGAAAGGGGGGGGTAAGCGCAAACAGATTAACAACAGACAAATATCTCCTCCTTCCATGTGCGCGGTGCATAAGCATTATGGTTTAGCAGATTGGTGGCGCACAACCCTTCGCTATGTCAAGTCCGTGACCTGAGTCATCCGACGGGGGGCGAACCTTCTCCCCTCGCTCCCACTTCATCACCATTAGACAGCACAGTTCTTCCGCAATTTTTTAATTCCACCGCTTACTACTTATCATAGTACTCGTTTTCCATCTGCTCCAGAATTTTTAGCTTCTCCGATAACGTCACGTTTAGCATATTTTCATTTTTTTTTTTTAACCGTTTTTCTAACTCGTCCTTTATTTTCTCTTCAAAGATTAAGGAGTTCATTTTTTTACTGCGCTTGTGGGTTTTTCTTTCCTTCTTTTTCGGGGGGTTCTTTTGGGGGAAACCCCTACTACTGAGGGCGTTGCTACTGCTGCCGCTGTGGTGGATAACACCGTTTTGGTTGGGGTAACCCTTGTCGTTATTACAATCGCTTTGGGGTGATTTCCCCTTTATGTAGCTCCCCCAGTTGTTCACACCACACCGCCTACTTCCAAACAGGTTTTCATCACTGCCAGCATTTTTAACGTTGACCCCGAAAGCGTTATCCTCACTGCAGTTGCTAAGGTGGTCCACGGAATTCCCATCGGAGAAGCCACTGGGGAAGTTGTTCTCGTGTGAGCCGACGTCCAGATTATTCTCGAGGTTATAGTCACTTCCCAAACTCCCACCGTAGCCGTCGCTATGCAGGTTAGTCTCGTGGTGGCCGTCACTTCTGACGCTTCCGTCGTAGCAGTCGCTACCCACAGGATCGTCACCACGGCCATCAGCGCTGCATACATCGCTGCATAAACCACTGCACACACCACTGCAATCGTCGCCGCTGCTCGAGCTCTCGTCGGGGTAATCCGACATTTCCTTCACTGTGTCACGATCGGAGCTGGACGAGGAAAAAGACTTCCAGTCATACTCGTTGGAGTTGTTGCCATATACATCTTCCAACACAATAACCTCCGATGAATCCACATTATTATTTTTAATGTGGTACATATAGTCCATATAATCGTTTAGCTCTATTTTCTGGTCATCTACAATGTATAAATCGTATTCATATTCATGCTCGGTTTTGCTGTGTGCGTCTTTCTCCGTCTTCCCCCGTGCGCGCTCCTGTTTCATCTCATCCTTTAGAGCATCACCAGGATTGGCATCGGCATTGACCCCCGTATCATCATCTACATTAGCATAGCCCCATTCTTGCAACAAATTCACATCGATAATTTTGTAAATTTCCTTTTTTTCCGCATCCAAATCGACGTACTGAATATTCTGGTTCACTATTTTGTACCTTTTTAAATTATTTATGGCTTCCCTTAAATCCTTTTCATATCCCTTAAGGGAGTTTAATTTTCTCTTTTTTTCGATAAGGGGTGACAAGTCACTGCAACTGGTGTGGTAGTGTTCATGCTTTCGGAACATGTTAACACATTCGATGTTTTCTTTCTCTATATCTACCTCCGGAATTACCGTGTCGATGTGTTTATAAAATATACCATTGCATACTCTTTTATTGGACTTTTTCACGTAAATTGACGGGATGGTTATCTCATCAATTTTTCTTTTCACTCTGATTATAACCTTTTCGTTTCTTCCCTCAGCTTTTTTTTCGGTGTCGTAATTTTCGCTGTCCTTATACATTTTTATTAGTATTTCATCAAAAGTGGGGAGAAAAACCTGTCCTCATACTTAAGCTTCTCTGTTCACTCTTCCAGTTCTTCGTAAAGCTGCTCCTTATATCTTTATTTGGAAATTCCCAAACCATTAAGTTAACATCTAGGGGGGTGGTACTTCTCAGTCAGGTATGTTACTACAGCAATTGCGGAAAAGTGTTATGGTTGTCTCCGTTGCGCCCTCGAAAGGGTCCTCTTCGTTGTATCAGTATACGTTTTTATGTTCCTATACTCGTAGGCACTTTCTTATCTATGCAAATGTACACACAGTGTTCATACGATGTCCACTTCTGTTGGCGCGATGGCTCTGGCGACTTCCAATTCGAGCTCGCGTTATGTGAAAGACTACACGTTCGAACGGATTAGCGATCGAACGGATTAACGATCGGACCAATGGCATACATAATTTTTTATACTGCTTTGACTGAGGCGAAGAGAAATACTCACAAATGGTGAGTAATTAAATTGGTAAAGCCCACTGGGGGGAGGGAAAAAAGAAAGGCTCCTAGGGGATGCTCGGAATGCTCCGAATGCTCCAAGGGGAAGGCAATTAAACGATATATAAAATGCATGTACAAATCTGAACATATGTAGGAACACTTGGAGCTATCGCGTAGCTTCCTTTTTCTGTAAAATAGCACTACATTTTAAGTAGCAAATTTGGGGAAAATTGACCACAGTGTGAACAGTTCTAGATGTACCCCCACTTTCGAAATTTTTTGCAGCAACTGTTTGAGTAGCCTGCACCTCCTCATTTCTTCCATTTATGCATATATTGGTAGCAAAAATGGACGCTATAAAAATATGTACATGTATTTATTTCTGTTCCCCCCAAATGAGTAAATAAATTGCCGTGCTGTGGCTTCTCCGCTAGGCTCACAAGCTCCATAAGATTACGCATCCGAAGCATACTTCTTCAAGTCGTTTGGGCTGTATATTATTTTAATGGTTAATGAGCAGCTTGGACATCTTAAAACATCTTCGCCCTTTAAGACACCTTCCAGAGTCACTTCAAAAATATCTCCGCAGGGGCACGGATAAAAAAATGTTTTAATCGTTTCGTCAAATTCGAAATCTTCTAATTTTACTTCTTCGTATATAACGTCATATGCCTCATTAATTTCTTGATGGTTATTTTCAACTATCATCTTTCGAAATTTTTATCTTAAATGGTTTTGCTAAGTATATAAAATCTCGTCGTGGGGGAGGAGTACATGAGAATTTGCAGGCAGTTTAAAATTGCTTAGCCTTCGCCTCAGTATATTTATTCGACGCGTTTATCTGTTCTCCTGAGTAACTTGGAAACACTATTAAAAGGTGGTGTTTCTCTTCTTATAGCCAACAAGACGTCCTTACGTGAATAGATAAATTTGTATACATAAAAATGTCCACGTTGCAGTTTTGGTTCTTGCGAAAGATTTTTTTTTTTTAAGCAGCCTTTAATCCTTTGCGGGCGTTTTCATCAAAACATGGACACAGGAATTGCTTCAATACGACGGTAAGAAAGTAAAAAAAATAGGAGCAGTTACGTCTATGCGAAGGCTCTTATGCGGCCCAATAATTGTTAACAAGTTTAATGCTCTTTTTTGCTGCCCTTCTTTACGCGTATTCAAAAAAACGCTTTCCGCACATCCATATGCTCTAAAAAAAGTAATAGAAATATATTTTTTTCCTGTTTCGCTTGCATTGTCATGAAAAGGCCAACGGTAGGAATGGCACTGACGCTACGTGAACTGCGCATATGCGAGAAAAGAAAAGAAAATGCGTAATACAAACGGTTTATCCGATTTGTTCGTATTCGCAAGCGTTTTTACTACATAAATTTACTTGCATAAGGCGTGAAAAGCGGGCTGTCAAATAATCTCGCGCGTAGGCATGCATTGCGCACGCATAGTACATATGTAGTAGATATATATGGGTATATATATAATACATATGATATATGCAATATATATAAATGCGCGTCATCGAGTGCATGATCGGATTGGCACTGTCAAACGAGGCGAACGTAAAATTCTGCCATTTTTCCGAAGTGCAGAAGAAATGTTTTTTTTTTTTAATTCATAAATTATTGTAGAATAAAATTAAAAAGTTGAGGAAACAGAAAATTAACTATAACTGTGTAGAGATCCGCCCGATTATGCTTCATCGCCATTTGTGTTTGTTTACGTTTATTCCGTCGTTCTTTTCCGATTTTTTCACTCTTTTCATGCGTGCGTACGTGGCGAATTCTACTGGAAATTTGCTCCACAGCTTTCTCCCAACGCGAGTGTATACATTTACTTATGCATAAGCGCATGATAAAGGTATAATCACCCAAACGTGGCGCCAATTTTTTGATGAACAGACGGTTGTAATTGGGGAAGGGGGAAAAGACCGAAAAATTATTCCCGTCAATTTTATAGCCGCAGCTGCTCATAAACGGTTCATAAAACGGTGAAGAACAAAAAATAAAGATAAAGTAAAACGAAATAAAGTAAAACGAAATAAAGTAAAACGAAATAAAGTAAAACGGAATAGAATAAAACGAAATAGAATAAAACGAAATCAAATAAACCGAAATCAAATAAAATAAAACAAAGGCTCAGTCAAACAAGACAACTATATGATATAGCCCCTGTGTTTTTATCACTACTTTTGTTTTTGTTAAAATAAACGAGAGGTATACATTAATTGTGCGGCACAGATAACCGCGCTGAAGCGCTGCGTGTCTGTGTGCATATCCGATTTGTATGCCCGTGGCATATAAGACTCACAACAGAAGACTCTTTTTCTTTTTTCTTTTTTTTTCCCCTACGCATAAGCGCTACGCTACCTGGGTTGAAGAACATTCCGAAAGGATTGAATCTTTATTGCATCATTAAATTTTACAAATTCGTTTTCGTGTTTAGTAGATTGTACAATATAGCGGAAAAGGAATTTTTGCTTGCCGTCGCCCATCATCACCAAGAGCCGCTGCATTTACTGCAAACAGAAGTAGAGATCCTAACGAGAACGTGTTTTCAAGGAGGTGAACTTCATTCGAACGTACCGAAGTTATCATGTCATCCTTCAATGTCAAGCTGAAGATATATGACTTGTCCAAGGGAATGTAATCATTTAAGAAAAAAAATAGAAATGCAAAGATAAGAAGTACGCCTTGCCTTGCACATCCGTGAGAGGAGGGCACGCACTTTTTACATGTATTTTCTGGATCCCATTTGTGTTCGTGAAAACGAATGTACAAATAACGGAAATTAATTTTCACTCCCCTCCTTCCTCTCCACACATTCACATTGTAGGGTAAAGTTGTGGTCCCCCTTTTTGATTGGAAAACAAATAAATGGCGTATGGCACACTGCCGTCTGGGTCTATGACATGGAGTACTTCTACGGTAAGGGGGGTGGGTCATTCCCAACCGTAGCTAGCGTATCAGTGCATGAGCGTGTTTGTGTACGTGCATGTCTACTACGACTCAGCGCTACACATCATTTGCGGTGTTAGCAACTACACACAGAAACACATACACACTTTTCTCCTTACAGGTGGAGGAATCATGTGTCTGGCGCCAACCGAATTCGAGTCTTACTACGATATCCAGCCTGTGAACGTCGTTGATATGGGTATAACGGAACTGGAACAATCGCACTTTCACGAATACCTAAACGGCATTCAGCCAAATTTTACAGTAGAGAAGTACAACTTAGTTAACTGGAATTGTAACAATTTTACAAACGAAGTGTGCAATTTCTTGGTTGGGAAGAATATTCCTCAATATATTTTGGACACCCCGAAGGAAGTCATGTCGACCGCTAAGGGGAAATTAATTTTAGACATGATGCAGTCGTACCAAACTAACATCGCCCCTGGGTTTGAAACGAGTGTACCTTTATTAAACAATGGAAGTAATGACGACAGTAAAGGGGAAAGTAGCAGTGCAGGATGTAGCAAGGAAGCGGAAATTAAGGAGCTCCCGAAAGTTCCAAGTGTTTCATTAGATAATTTTTTTAACGAAAATAAAATAGAAAATTTATTGGACGAATATATAAAGAATGAAAAATATGATGTGGATGAAAAAAAAACTTTTTTAAGTTTTCTGAAAAACCTTCTAGATAACGTAAGCACAAATCCAGATGTTTTAAAAAACCGTTATGTGCATGTTAAAAATTTCCCTAAGCTTCAGAGCAAACATGGAAATAGTGAATATAATAAGATTTTATCGTCCTTGAATTTTTTCCAAGGATACATAGAAAATGATGAAATAAATAATTTGCAAAAGTTTACCATTTTTGTGGATCCCAAGTATAATAAAATGCATGCCTTTACAGAACATTTAGATTTATTTTTAGAAAAAAATGTTTTTTTAAAGAATCCAGATAAAACCATTTTCAAAATGGAAACTTTGAAGTTTAAGGACATGTGTAAATATTCGGATTATCTCGATAAAAAGGGAAGCAATTCCAACGATGTGCTTATTTTTATATCTGAAGCTTTTTTAATCAATAATTTCGACGTGACCAATAAGGAAAATGACCTTAACCATTTCAACAGGGTGAAGGCTGGGATATGTGGTGACCAGGGGGTGGAAAGGGAATTCTTGTCCAGCACGTCGAACCTTCTGGAGGCACGAATAAATGAGTTAGACTCATCCGAGTGAAAGGTGCCGATGGTGAACCGATTAAGTGGAATGGCAATTGGGAAGCCAATATTAGGGGTTAACGGGTTAAACCAGGGAGAAGCCAACTTGACCGTTTCGAGTAAACTTTATCACAGGCGCAGCATGCGAGGAAAACCCTCCATTGGTGAGACAGCCCTTCCTATATGCTCCATAAAAAAAAGGGGACACAGAGGGGTTAAAATTACACACGTGTTGTGTTTTAACCCCCAAGTTTCTCTCCCATTCGGAGGGAGAAACAAACAAACAAACAAACAAACAAACAAACAAATAAAAAAACAAACAAACAAATAAATAAACAAACACACAAATAAACAAACAAACACACACATAAACAAACAAAAAAAAGTGGAGAACTACGCTAAAGAAGCGAAAACGGTTGGCTTAACAGTTATGTTGTACCCGGGAGGTACGTAAAAAATTGCGTACTCTTCTGACGCAGAGAATAACATCCTAATTTTTATCTGCACATTTTCATACACGCGATGGCAAGAAGAACGATCTAGTCTTTCTTCCCAGCAAGAAGTACAGAGGGGAATCATTAATCCTCCAAGGAATTTACACCTCGTTAAAAATGTGAATATTTTTTTTACCATTCCACCTTGTTACGTGTGTTCATGCGCATCTGTATATTTATCCGTACAAGCGCACGGGGGGTATTTATATTTACCGATTTCGTTCCCTCACGTTAGAGTATGTGTAATGAAAACTTATTAACCACACGTGAGCTACTGCATCGGAAAATTGCCATAAGGATAAATCGGAAGAATTAAGAAAAAGGATGCCGTTGTGTAGTAGTATATAAGCTGTTTTTTTTTCCCTCATATTGTACTTCCCCTTTTTTTCCTTTTTTTTTTTGCAATTTTCTTTTTTTCGTAAACACAGCTTTTACAAATGTAAAATAGTGAAAAGGAAAAAAAAAAAAAAAAAGAAAATGCATGTTGCGTTGTATACATTTACTGCTCCAATTTAAACATGAATCCACCCGCCTTTTTTTTTTTTTTACTGGAAAAAGAAACAGGCCTAAAAAAAAAAAAAAAATTTCATGACGTATTTGCATTTTTATTTTATCAATTTTGAATGCCTTTGGGTTTTTATTAAAGATTAAAGTGAATTTAATGACACATTGTTTCGTGTTTTTTTATGTGTATATTTTTTTTTTTTTAGCATGCGAATGTACTTTTTTCCGCAAACACTTTCAGACTTAATCTGTTGTATGGGGTCCATGTTCCCGCGCAGTTCAATCTTTATATGCATGTGTATGTGCATTTATCTATTATGTGTAATTGTCCTCGAGAAAAATATGTGGTCACTGTGAATTAGCCCTGCGGGAAAGACGTAAACTGTAACATAGAAAAACTGAAAATCAATTCATTTTTTACTTTGCGACAGGTGCGACCTGCTCACCTCTTTTTGTGTGTGTGTTTTTTTTTTTTTGTAACATAGGGCCGCCAGTTTACCACTACAAAGAAGCAACATTTCACCATTAAGGAGGCGATAAGCAAATTTGAAGTAAAAGGAAAATAGGAGGAGAACAAAAATCCCACGGAAGAGATCACAGAAAGGTGCTCAGCGTAGAGGGGGGAGGGGGGAAATTCCTCAACAAAGGGTACCAACGGAGGATGCACCGAAGGAGAAGAAACGAGGAATAGCGTGATTGATCAATTGTAAATAGAAGCCAATTCAGGGATGGAGCGTCAAGCAATATAACTTTGTTGCAATATCGAACCGTTTTACGCATTCCATATGTCTTCTGCTCTTAGCCATCACTCAGAATTAGGCACATCAAATGAATTTCATGACGCGCGCGCTGCGGTTTGCTTACATTTTTTCCGAAACATAAACTGATCAACGTGGCCATGCCGTGAAGCCACGCCTGCAGCTTTGCATGTTCTGTTTCCCCGCCCCCATGATCTAGGCGCGCGCCTGATTTATTATTCGTTTAACCGTTTAGCGGTTTAACCGTTTAGCGGTTTAACTGCTTAGCGGTTCTACTGATTAACTTCTTAACTGCTTAACTGCCTAATTGATTGCTTTTTTTTTTTTTTGCCCACCTGGCACATGGATTTGGATTCATCGCGCCGTGTGCATTTCCTCTTCCCCTTCCCTCGCTCCGATCTGTGCACACATTTGCCCCCTCTTTTTTGAGGCAAGATGTGGAGCTTAACATGCGTAGTCGTGCTGCTGTGCACCATTTGCTACCAAGTCATTTCAGAGAATTTTAAAAGGCAAAATACCAACTACATTCTGCAGTTGCTCCAAAAAAATGCGAATTATAAAATCGTGACGTTAGAACCGGAGTACACAGTAGCCGAAGATAACCAAGTAGGGAAAGCAACGCAAGAGTCCGATGTTAACAGAAAAGAGTTTTTACTTCACAACTATATGGTAATCAAGAATTCAGAATTTACAAATGAAAAAGTTTTAGAATTATACTCATCGAAGGAAGAAAATGTTAATATCCATTTAGTGTTAACCTTCTACATAGGGGACTTTAATTTCTCCGTTGGTAGTAATTCTCCATACGAAGTAAATTTAATTTTGAGCACAATGGCAGGGAAAAAAAAAAGCTCTTGTAACAATAATAATTATAATATCGTTTTGCTAAAATCTGCAGATGTAAAGAACCCATCAGAATTTGAAATCCTATCTGAACCCATTATATTTAGCATAAGCAAAACAGCTGGAAGTTTCAGAATAAACATAAATAACTTTTTCCTAGATGGAACATGGAGAGCTTTCGTAAAGGACAGACTTACGTTTTTATTAAAACCAGAGGATAACTGCTATACTATGTTGGAAGATAAATTAAATAGGCCATCTTTAATAATTGAAAAAAAAAATATGTTTTACACTGATTGGGGAGAATGGTCTCAATGCTCCATGGAATGTGACCATCCTGATAATGTACAAATACGGGAAAGAAAATGTACCAACCAATCTGGGGAGTGTTTTAAAGGGGAGCTAAAAGAAACCAGACCATGCAAAGTGCCTCTACCCCCTTGTAAATCTCTATTTGACCATAAAGAATCTTCAACGTTTATAATTACCATCATTCTTTTACCCATAGTACTTGTCATTTGTGTAATGGGGATCCTATATCACATATTTTATAAAAGGAAAGGAGCCGAGAAGGAGTTGTACGAAAATGTGGCTGGCAGATTTATGTACGAATGAGAGGAGTGTGGGATATCGCAGCTCTCCAAGTGCCAAGTGCTATCCCCTCTTTGCAGCAAAACTGGGTGTACCTTTTACATATACACACCTCCCTAATAACATGGTGATGAAGACAACACAACCGAGTCGGTGTCTCCTTATGGACAACACCAACTGCGAGGAAAATTATTTTTCTGATTTAGTTTTCCCTTGTTTGTTATTCTTTGTTATTTTAGCTAGCTGCGCATTTACCATGTCGAGGAGAAATCCTAACAGAGTCCGTTTTTTTTTTACGAACCTTTTTGCACATAATATTTCTCTCCCTGCGGCTTACCTGGGTTACTCCGTTTCGTTTTTCGCAACTTCCCTTCCCGACCAGGCTGTAATTTTTTGTTGCGCTCAATTTTTTCGTTTATGCATTCGCCCCTTTTGGAGGCACCCCCGTTTGGCTCACTTGTTGCACTAGTTTTGGCTTTTTGGTTTCTCTGTGTTTGTGTTTTTCGAAGTGAGACCAAAAAAAGCAAACTAATTAATTAACCAAACCTGTAATGACCTGCTCAACGCGACCTCTCTTTGGTTCCACAGCTTGCCACAAGAATGCGAAGTGGTAGCGGTAGTGTTAGCAATAGTGGCAACAATATTGCGCGAAAACTCCATGAAGTTTCAAACGTTTTATTTTCTCCCTCAAAGTAGCACTTACGCGTTGTGCAATTTTTTCCATTCCGGCAATTTTTTTGTGTGCATAGATCCGCATGACGCTATTTATGGCAAAAAAAAAAAATACAAGTAATAGGAGCATATTCCCTTTAGCTTAATCTCCACATGTAGAAAGTGTGCGCAAAAATGAATTCGCGCATGTGATGATGCTTTAGCGGACAAACGGCACAGGAGATCAGCTTGACAACAATTCGCTACTATATACGGGAAAGAAAAAAAAAATTATAGAGGTGAAAATGTTGAGCTAATCTCGTCCAAAGATTCATTATTACGTGTACTTAATCTAAAAGGCGCAAAGTAGCCAAGCGAAAAATTCGAGGACACCATTTGGACCTTCCCCCTTTGCATGCACATGACTAGGTGTCAAGAAAGAGACCAAAAAATGTGTATCTCCAAATGCCTGGCGCTTATTTAAGAGGAAAAATTCTCCTAAAAAAGGGAATTTTATTTTATTCGATTTGATTCGATCAGATCTCTTTGTAGGACAATTCTGCATGCAGCGCAACTCCTAGGGGGGGGCGCCGCGAATTGTCGCGAGTTGGCGTAAGTTGTCGCCAATTGCCAAGAATTACTGCGTCGTGTTCAATATGCGTAAAAAAATATGAGAGCTTCTACTGCCAGTACAGTCGGAGGGGAGTTAAGGCATAAATAGATCAAATTTTTGGCGCGCGCAAAAATGGGTGAAATAGATGTCACAACTGAGCCGACGGTCGCACGCAAGCGTGCAAATATGGACACATATATATATGAACATTATAGGCATGTGGAGTAAAGGTAGTAGGAGCCTACTTTTGTCTTCTTTATTTTTTTTTCATGAATGTGTACATTTAACTGCGATCAATTTTAACGCATTAGCGTGTGTAAATTTTTAACTATAAAAAAGGACACTCTCCGTATAGTCCATTTTGTGAATTTTTTCTTTCTGACGGCTTATTCGTGTAGACTATTTTGTGCGTCATTTTTCGCATCATTTTTTGAACAACTGTGAGGAGATATTTGGAGCTGCAAGTTGGCTACCAAAAGTTAAGCGCGATATACTCTTGGTGTGCCACCTTTTTGTCGCAAGGAGGTGTGTAGACATAGATAGAGGCGTACGCGCTTCACTACTTGCCAGTTACCCCCCGCGATTGTCTGTACCTTCCTCCTTTTGGCACATGCGAGTTCACAGGGCCGCCGCCCAACCTCCACCGGGGTCATTCTCTGTCGCTGCAAGTACACACAAGTTGTGCACCTAGCCACAGAGCCCGAAGACTGTCAAAGGAAGAAATGAAAAAGCACCATAACACTAAACACATAAGTTTTGCACTTGTAAAATTTGTGGTGTCTTTTTTATTAATCAACATTTGTGCCATTAGTGTAAGAAAAAATGTAAAAAGAGGTAGATTCGTCATTCACCAAAATGAGGAGAGTGACATACCGATCGGAACAGTAGTTCCCTATTTTTCGGAGGAGACAACCATATTCGAAAATTACACGGTGAAAAAGGTAAGTCATGAGGAAAATATCTGTATAAATTCAATTCGGAATAATAAAAATTTAAACGCACCCATGGAACAGATGTTAAAGCTAGAAAATCAGACGCACGCGATAGAAGTGGGAAACAAGAGAAACATTTATGGCTACACAGATAATCTGCTACGAGATGGGAATTATCAATTGTCTAATATCGCATTAACATTTAAGGTACCCATAAATCACGAACTGTGCGAATTTAATTCCTTTAATAATTACATTCTTCTTGTTAACTATTTGAAGAAGGTAGATTTTGAAGAAATCAAAACCAAGTTACAAAAAGGCGTTTTTATATTCATAAAATTACCTGATGATTACGACTTAAATAAATCCATCGCTGCATTTACGGGGGATAAATATTCTTTGTCGAAAGGCACACTAGAAAATGACTACATAAAAATTGATATCTCCAATGCCATCCAGCATTTCATATGTCAAAAAGAAAACCACAGCAAGGCTACCAATTCGACTGAGCCCAATCAGAATGATAATGTGGATAGCTATGTTCTTGGGAAGAGCGTCGAATTTGCTCTTTTTACTTCGCACGAGTTGAGTGACATTATTTTGTTTTCACCAGAAATGAAGGATCCGCGGTTTCTGCATAATTATAAAAATATGAGGAATATTCTGAAGCTTAAAAAAAGTAAAACACGCGGTGGGAGTGGGGGGTTCGCCCTGGGGGGAAGGAGGGATCTCCACCCGTCCTGACTTGGTCCATCCACCTGCCCTTCACCACTTCGCTACTTCACCATTTCACCACTTCGCAGAATTAAAAGAGAGGCACTCCAAGTGGGAGGACTGGTCTCCATGCTACAGTGTCTGCAGCGACGAATTTTCTTACAGTTGCAGGCGGAATAAATGCCTGGAGGAAGATGCAGACTTTTGCGATAGGTATTTTAACCTCACATTTCGGAAATGTCAATCGGCTGCTTGCCAAGTGTTGTTAAAAGGTGCAAAAAAGATAAAGCGAAAGAGGGCAAAATAAAACAAAATCGCTTCATACAATGAGGCAAACTATGACACGAGAAGCAAATTTATAGGCTTCCTTAACGGATAGATTCAAATTTCTCACATTTTTATTTTTCCACCCTCAATTTTTATTTAGAAAAAATTCAGGAAGTCCCAAAGGAAGCTGTCCAGGAAGGTCAACAGAATGATGACAAAGCTGAGGAAGTAAAAGCTGCTAATGCTGCTTCTAATGCTGATGCCGCTGCTGCTGCTAATGCTGCTTCTAATGCTGATGCCGCTGCCGATACCACCACCGCTGCTGCTAATACTGCGGAAAACGCACAGTTAGAGGTGGAGAGGCATGCAGCTGCAGAGGATGATTATTTAGACGCACTCAGGTTCAGGCGACGAAAGGAAAAGAAAGTGAACTTCTTCATGTGGATAATAAATAGTAAGAATACGACAAAAATTCACATGATACATGGGCGCACAAGTACGAGCAGCATCCCTGTGGAAACATGCTCAGTGGCCGACAGGGCGACAATCATATGCTACACCTGTATATAATGTACGCCTACACAAGTATGCATTTGCATCTTCTCTCATTTCTGCTTCTCCTTTCTGTTCAACTTGCAGATAAAAAAATGGCCCTCGGGATAGTATTATTTTTACTGGGAGCTATAATTTTCGGATGCATATATTGCTATGTAAGGTAACATTATTTTTTTTACTTTTCTAATTTTCCGAACTTTCCAAAAGACACAAATTTGGAATTTTTTTTTTCTCCCCCGTTTCAGCTCCAGTCTAGGTTTTCATAATGATGAAGAATATTGTGTGTCAAAATACAGAGCTCAGGCGATCAATTAAAACTTTTTTTTCAATTTTTTAAAGATGGTGCTTAACTGCGTTAAAACTTTTTGAAGGCAGGAAAGAGGTGGTAGCAGGATTTTGTCCTGCTTCGCTTATTCTCTTTTATTCACTCCACATCGTTTAATTTTGGCCTCTTTTGGGGCCCACTTTTAAAGAACAATTTGCTTAACTTTTTTTTTTTTGTTCTTTCCTTTTGTTCGTTGTTTTTCGCCCCTTTGCCTCTTTCTCCTGTCTTGTCGCATTTTCCCGTTTTTACGAAACAAAGGAAATGCTTACAACACTATATTTTACAAAAAGAACTTTCTTTTGATATATTCCCTGGGGAAAGATGCTACTTCTTTTAACGTTATGCGGTTAAGTAAGGGAGCAGCAGCTATTTGGTACTTTCCACAATCATGCGCACCCACACATGTCGTGAGTGCAAGTGCTCCATTTCAAAATTGTAAAAATGGCAAACATGGGACGTGAATTGGCACAGTATGAACTGTGTGCAATGTATTGCATCTAGGTGAGTAAAAAAAAAAAAGGAGGAATGAAAATGCGATTTCTCGAAAACCAACTGTCTTTTTATTTACAAAACGTTTAACTAAATGACAGCGGGGTTTCTTTCAAATATGATTTGCCCCTGCAACAGGTGGGAGGCACTTTCTTGCGTCAGTTTTTCCTTTTTCCTCTTCTTCAAAACTTGGTGCGCACAACCGCATCAGGTGTTTAGCAGATTCTTCAAATGTTCCGGGCACAAGCGCCTCGTCTGCACAAATAGTCGGATGGAAAAATGGGGGTGATTAACCTAGATGTGTAGCACTTGTTGCGGGGGGAGTTACTAACAACCGTAAAGGAAAATGAAACAAAAGAAAACAAAACAGAGTGAAACAAGATGAAGAGCACGCAAATGTGTCGTGGGGGTCTTCTACACTTACTTGCTCGTTGGACGAGATCAGCTCGATGAGGTCGCTGGTGAGGGGGTACTTCTGCTTTAGGGCGTTGAACAGCGTGGTACATTCGTCCCTGGGAGAGGGAGAAAAAAAAAATGAATTAACTAACAAATGACTAACCAATTAACTGATCAATCAACCGGTTGACTGATTAATGGCACTTCCCGCACAGGAATGGACGCGGAGAGTGCGCCCCTCCTCTTGTCTCTTAAAAACTTACGCGGGCAACATAAAAAAAACGTAAAAAAGGGAGTGCTTGAAATCGGGCCACAACATCGATATGCACATCAAACAGCCCTTCCATATAACCTTGTTGTTCCAAATTTTTTTTTGTATCAAGAGGGGGATAATAATACTACTTATGAATTCGCGCAGAATGTTAATATTTTTGCTAATCTGACATAGGAATCTGCCATAAATGGGGATTATGGCATTGCTATTTTCCGCAATCTGCTGAATTATATTGGCCAAATCTTTTATTGTAATATCGTTGAACATTTTGTTTTCCTGATCATCAATAGTGTGTAAGTTCACTTTGGTGACAAAATAGTCCAGCATAATTTTCTGGATATTTTTATTTCTATTCAAGTTGTAATAAAAGTAAAAAATTTCAATATTCGTGATGTAGTAGGATTCATTTTCACTTTCATTTTGCTTTTCGACAATGTAAAAATATGGTAACTTTACAATTTTGTTGATGCAGAATTTGAGGAGGTCCACTTTGGTACTTTCGTCCATATCATTTTTAATTATTTCATTAAATATATGCATGGTTTGTTCCTTCTTCAAAAAGGCAATCAATTCGATAATAAAAAATACGTTGTTATTTTCCAAGTACAAATTGTAGCAGAAATTAAGAAAATTTGTGCGACTTTCCCACGTGGGAACAGACGATGCGGTTGTGTATTCACTCAAATTTCGACTTACGTATTTTATAATTTCTATATTAACTTGGAAGGAGCTGTTTTCGTTATTCGCGTCCGTCTCTTCCCCTTTTGTAATATCATTTTTGTGTTCATTTTTGTGTTCATTTTTGTGTTCATTTTTGTGTTCATTTTTGTGTTCATTTTTGTGTTCATTTTTGTGTTCTTTTTTCTGTTGATTTTTCTGTTCATTTTTGTCTTCATTTTTGTCTTCCTTTTTCTGTTCATTCTGCGTGTCTTTTCCCTGCTCGGCGTGTTCCACACTGTCTCTTATGACATTCGTTTCGGAAGAAGCAGCTTCGTCTTCCTGTTTCTTCTCACCAACTTCTTTTCCCTTCTCCACATTCTGCTCACTCCACTTGTTATTATTATATTTCAAAATCCTAAAAAACTCCTCATGGAAAAGGGACTTTAACAGGGGGAGGGAGGCTACAAACTTGGTCAACAAAATTGTCCTCACTTCTTTTTTTACACAATTGGCATATGTGTTCAAGTAGAGGTGAAAAAATATGGAGGATCTGACGCAGATGCTTAGGAAGTTATCAATTGCGTTGAGGAAAAAGTGTAAAATGTCACGCAATTCTACACTTCTGTCCTCCTCGTCAGCGATTTTTTTTTTATCGTCTTCTGGTGATTGGTTAAGAAGTGTGGAAAAGTAGGCCCAAAACTGGGCTCTGTTTTTCTGGTATACCTTTCCTACCTTCGTGAGGACAAATTTGCACAAGGCATCCACGTAATGAATACTCACAAAGTTTAGGAAGACGTTTCGTTTTTTCATTCTGTCGACCATTTTGTTGTCTTCCAGTAGATCTACTGCTTGCATGAACAGCCGAACGAAAATTTCTTCGAGCAGAATTTTCTGCGAAATTTCGTTCTTGTGCAGGCATTCCTGGGATTCCTCGTGGTGGTACTTCTCGTCGGTGTCTTCTCCGTGTTTGTAGTCGCCCTCGTCGTCTTTTTCCTCGGCAGCATTTTTCTCTTCTCCCCCTTCCTCGCTGCCATCTTCCGCGTCTTCCACGGGTGCTTGCGCCCCCTCGGAATGCCCCTCACTTGGCGCTGCGCCCCCCTGGCTAGCCGCCTTACCAGTGTTGAAGAAGTCCGTCTGCTTTAGGAACCATTCCACTGATTGGAAGATGTCGGGGCGATCAAGACCGTTGACGTATTCACTTAATTTCTCCTTAACAAACTCATAGTTCTTTAAAGACCGCATCCGCTTTTCGTAGGATGGGACATTTTGACAATTCACAAATATGCACAAAATATCATTATAGAAAAAAGAAAAATTGGTTATTAGAAAATTGTGAACAAAATTAATTAATTTCATTGGCCACAGGTAAAAGGCAAAGTGAGAAAAAAAAAGGATGTCATTTTTCAAATGGGGCATGTACATATTACAAATGTATAGTAAAAATAAAATAAAAACTTGGTGATAAAATCTGTATACTCTTTTCGTGTAAACAAAAAAGCTTAACGCATTGTTGTAAATTCCCTTCGCTGCCGTGATGAGTTTTTTTAAAAGGTTTCTAATTTCGTTGCTAGATTTAAATAGCGTGTTTATATAGATGGCTAAAATAGTTTTCTTCGCTCTTATGTTTTGATTTTTCTTCAACAAATTGGAAATCAAGGAAAAGCAAAAAATATAATAATTCGAAGCGCTTTGCACCTTGGGGGAGTACTTAATGTAATAATTGATGTTAAAAATGGGTTCGTCCATTTCGATTTCCGCGCTTGGGATGAGAGAAGCGTGTTTTTTTTTCTTGTTTCTATGGGAATTCTTCCTTGTTACAATTTTATACACACCGCTTCGTTTGTGCGTTTCGTCCCCACTGGAAATATTTCCATTGTATATATTTGCTTCGCCACTGTTATCTCCCTGGTCAATCTCTTTACTGTAGATTGATACATTGGCAAGGTTTCCTCTCGAATGTCCTACGCCGGTCTCACCATTTTGTAGACTTTCACTTTCAGACGAATGAAGACTTTTGTATGAATCATCACCTTGGCTGTTGTCGCTCGCCTTATCCTTCTCCTCCGCATTGAACGCGTCCACTTTATTTTCTTCATTTGCATAATCCTCCGTGTCATCACTTCCGCTTAATTCAACATCGAAGTGAGAGGCGGATCCATCTGACCACACGCTGCAAGTGTGCTGATCAAACGAGTAGTTCTTTTCATGTTTGGGTTTCTCCCCATCGGAAGCAACGACAAAGCGAGGGTCATCACCATTCGCCGTGTGACACTCCCCTGCATTTGCCACTGTGTCGTGTTCATCTTGCTTTCTTTTGCTTCTCAGTTGGTTGGTCTGGTTTATGTTGGCATCTTCCCCTTCGCTGGACATTTCTCCCCTTTTTACATGGGCCTCCTTCAACCCCGCTGTCACCATAGTTTGGTTCATTATTTCTCTTTTATTGACGCCCCCTTCCGAAAGGGAAATATGACCACTATTCGAATTGTTAATATAGCCAGTGTAATCAATATGAACGTCTATATTGTTCAGCCAGATAATCAGGTAGATAAAAAAGGAGAATGTCAACTTCGGGGTCTCCAAAATTTGTTCAATAAAAGTTTTAATATACTGATCTCGATGGTTGGCTAATAATTTATCATTATGTAAAAAAAAAATCATGATATTTAAGATTTCATCATATTTGCATTTGGCTTTGAACTTGCTCTTCTGCAGTTCTTGTCTGTAAGCGTATCCTTTTGTTTTTATTTTCTTTTTTAATTTATCCAAATAGTTGTAGCAGAAGATTGTGTAGCCTAACGTGTGATTATCACGATGGTAATGCATTTGAAGTGCGGAACCTGCTAGTCGTTTGTCCTGATCTGCCCCTTTTACCTGTTTTTTTTTTTTTTTTTCATCTTGGATGTACGAAAAAAACAATAAATTGTTAAAAATTTTAAATATGGCGGAGTAATTTAGGAAAACATCGCTGGGGATTTTTCCCTTGAATATACATACGGTATTAATCTTCACCAGGTACAAAATGAGGAAATAAAATTTCAGCTTTTCCTTCATCATATCATTTAAAATTATCCTCTTAATTACGTTATTTATAACTTTTAAATTATTAATCCTTTTGATGAAGATATTTTCACCCAACACTGGAACTTTATTTTCCAGGTTGTTGTTAAGTATTTGTGAAAAAATGAGAAAGTAATACAATTCCACTGTCCCCAGGATGCTGTCATTCGATTTAACATTGTTGTAATATTTCAGATCGTTCTTTAAGAAGCTGGCGTACATATCATTGTAGTTCCTTTGGAGAACGTGAGCCTGGGTGCCTTTCTTATTCTCGTTTGACGTTTTGTTCGTTTCTTCGCTATGTGGCAATATGTGGTTTCCGTCTTCTCCGTTGGGAGTTCCCTCTCCGTCTGCATTTTTGCTGTGGTTTTCTCCAATAGAGTTTTCCCCTACAGAGAGCTTCGCCTCACAAAACTCCGCTGTGATGCTTCTAACTCTATTGGTGCTGGAAGTCTCACTGTTTCGCGACACATCCCGGTCGTAGGCATAAAAATCGCAAACGTCTGCTCTACCGTCGTCTGGCCGCTTCCTTCTCCTGCAAAACAGATCCTTCACGTTGTTCCTTTTGGAGCAGTCGAACCTTTCATAATACTCCTTGTCCAGTTTAAAATTTGTAAAATATAATTTTTTCACAATTTGATTTATAAATATATTTTCCTTTTCCTCTTTTTTAAGGAAATCGTTCCTGTTACTTTCGCTCACGTTTTCCTGCTCATTTTCGCTTTCGTTCATTTTTACCTTTAAGTAGGACATGATGTCCACGTGCTCGTTCTTTAATTTCTTATACCCATAGAAATCCTTCCTCAAAACATTTGTTTTTAAATATTCACAATTGTAGTTGAAATTATTTTCGTTCACCTTCTTTTTTTCCTTTTCGATGTCTAACAGGGTGCTCTTTATGGATGTCTGTTTTTTTTTTACTAATTCCTCTGTGCTCCCTTCTTCCCCCAGCAGGTTTAGCAAGCTCGTAACATATGCGTAGTAGAAGGGGAAATTTACACTACTTCTGCATATCAACAAGTACAGTTCGTTCTTTATGTACTGAACCATGCAGTTAGACAGTTTTTTCTTATAAATGCTTGGGCCTGTTTCCTCGTGGGGGGCGGAATCCTGATCATCCTCTGCAAGGGCATTCTCTTCACACTCGTCGATGCGCTTTTTCGCCTCCGATACACCTCCACGTATTCGCACCAATTCACTGACCATTATGAAAATATTCTTAAGGAAAAAATTGAACACAAATGGGACTTCGCGGATTAGGTAAAACACATTTCTCATCAGATGCGTGAGGAAAATGATGTTGTCCGTTGTGATTTGATCAATAGTGGATATTAGACAGTCTGTACTTATGATATACTTTTTCGCCAGTTGGTAGTAATCCTCCTGTGCTTCTTCCTCGGGTGGGGTATCAGAAGGGGGAGCTCCCTGCGCAGCTTCGCCCCCGTATTGGTAAGCACATTCGTACACATTTTCGTACACATTTTGGAACACAATTTCGTGTGTATTTTCGCGCGAACTTTCGCAGGTCATATGCTTCCCATCACCTGCGCTTTCTTTCTTTCCCTCGTCGGCTGCACATACCTCATTAAATTGGGCTATTAATTTGTTAAAAACTTCCAACTTGGGTACGTCCCCATCGCTGTTACTACGCTCTTCCTTTATGGCACTTTCTTCCTCGTAGTTTTCGCGCTTAATTATGCATTCCATTTTCACATTTTGCTCCGATTTTAATTTTTTTTTTCTACCCCCTTTTTTTGCAATTGCACGGTTGGAAGCGACCTCGGGGATGGAACCATCACGGGGTGGTTTTTCCTCCAACTCCTCCTTTATTTTGTGCACAGATAACGATAATTCATTCTTGGCAAGATCATTGGTATTATTTCCATTTTTACTAAGGTTAAAAAGAATCAAATCGTTTAACAGTCGGATGTCCTGCTCGAGCCATATCATAATAATTTCATCATAACTGTTCATATTAACCTTGTCTGCAACAACATTCAGGTATGCTATGTCGAACACTTGGTTAATTACATGGTGAACTTGCTTCTGCTCACTTAATATTTCTTTAAATATATTCTTTTTATTTTTTAAAATGTGAAAGAAAAATAAAATTTCCTTGGTCAAAATTAGCATCAAGTTTTTTATTAAGTCATATTTGTACGGGTTTTCCGTTATACTTTTATCGAAATGGAAGTTCGTTAGGATGTTAAAAATTTTGCTTTTCAGTATGACATAATTGTGGAACCCTTGTTTGAGGTTATTGACTTCGTTTCTTCTCTCTTCCTCCCTTTCTTCATAGTTATCATACAAGGAATTATCTCCACAGTCGTATAAACAGCCTTTGGAAAATATAAGCCCCTTCAACAAGGGGATGATAATTTTTTTTAAATGGTCAACAATTTTTACAACATAATACTTTTGTTCAATTAGGTTCACAAAGTAGGAGACAACTAAGTGTGCATAATTTTTGTTAATCCGTAAGACAGATGAGAGGAAGGTTAATATTCTTGTTAGCAATTTTTCTCTAAAGGGGCAATTAATTTTTGTATCCCCATTATCTATGCGCTCCAGCAGTAAGTTTACATACGGAATGACATACGTGTTAATTATCCTTCGTTTTCCTTTATTTTCATTGTTAAAACATTCGAAGAATATTTGCTCTATTTCGATGATGTGCGGGATTAGGCTTTGCTCGTCTTCTTCGTTGTTTTCGAGCAGCTGGATGATTTTCTGGATGCGGCATTTTTTGTTCTTTTTTCTGTTTTGTACCATTTAGTTAAGGGTGGGGTGATTCGAAAGACTCGCGTGTATACTGTGTGTGTGTGTGGTTACTTCTTGCAAATTAAAATCACACTCGTGTAAGCATATTTATGTGCCTACCTATATGCTCCCTTGTTCCTCCTTTTTCACTCATACGGGTTGCGCAAAAGTTAGCAATCAGTAAGGAGTTTGTGCTTCTTCAATTTTGTACTTCCTCAATTTTTTGTTTCCGCTTCCCGTGGTTCTTTACATATGAAATGATGTATAAAGCGGCCTCGCCTTAGAAATTTTATGGCGATTGGCAAAATAGCCGGAAGCAGATGAGTGGAGGATTTATGTTGTGCTTCGTTTGTTGGCAATCATCTGTCGGTGTGCATTCCAGGCGCTTGCAAGGGTTGCACTTGGTACCTCTCGTTCATACGTGGGGGCGTCTTGGGAAAATGCCCTGCCCAAAATGTGCGCGTACAAATGGGAGCTGACGAATACAGCTGTTGCATATACACGGCACGTTCAGCTGCATAACACAGAAACAACTAAGTAAGGGCCTTCCTCAACAATTCCACGCTCGTAGAAAACGGGGTTTACCATTTTCTTATTGTTACTCAGATTCCAACCGTTGCTCACGCAAAACGGTATGCGGAACGATTGAAAAGGAATAAATGGAGGGAAAGCCAAAAAAATAAAAATAAAAAAAGTCTTACATTTTTATAAAAGCATACCTTTCTCCGTTTACAATTTTTTTTATTTAAGGAAGAAGTAGTATTTTGTGGAATTTTATTTGCATCGTTCAATGCGATGCTGTGATGGCAAATGCTTATTAATTAGGTATACGCGGCTTCCCTTTTTTTTTCTATTCCCTCTTAATATGGACAAATGAATGACGGGCGAACCCAATTCGAATTTTTTAAAAATTGTCACATTTTGTATTTAATTATCACGCATCGTATGTAATGTGGTATGTTCGCCTATGTACAAATAAATGCTCGAATTTTTGGAGAGTACCATTTCACCATTTTTGCAAACTCGATGGGACTTTTTCTTCCTCTTTTCCCTTTTTCTTATTAATTTTATGACAAAGAGATGGGATAGCAAACGAATCAACATTGACTGTAAAATCCCCTTGGCGCACTTTATTGAAAAAACCAAATCGTGTTGTATTGATTTTATGTACACGCTGGACATGTCATTATACATGACAAATGAGAAGAGCGTTTTAAGCAAACGGCATAGGGGTGGTAGAATTTGTCCCCTCGCGTATTATGTGCAATATGGCACATATATTTATTTACCCCTAACTATAGTAAGCACTATTTATTTACCTTCCGCATGCGCATTCAAACGAAAGAGGGGGGGAAATAAAGTTAAAAAATTATGGCTCCTATTATTCCCTTTTGTAGAAAATTCACTGAAAAATAAATAAACAAATGGGAGAAGCGGAAAAAGAAGAAGAAAAAAAAAAAACCAAACGTTCGGTGAAACGAGGGACATTTGATTATTTTTCCCTTTTTCTATTTTCCGTTTTCTTTATGCATTTCACATTTTTTGTCATCATTAAAAAAAAGAGTTTGTAACATCCCTTAACTTAAGTAATGCCTCCTTTAATGGTGAACATGTTACCCGTGTATAATACTTACCTCGCGGAAGAAGAAACCGAATTGGCGATGTACCAACTTTTCAAGTGGCAGTCATCATCGCCATTAAAAAAAAAAAGAAACTATCTCAAGGTTATTCACCTGCGCATATTACATACATTCATATGTACGTGTATGCCAGCAATATAACGATATGATATTTTATCAGCCAGAGCAATGGAAACGAGTGTTCCTAATTTAATGATAAAGGTATTAGCAAACTAGTAGTGCTAGTCCGAATAGAAAAGGCCAAGCGTTTTGGCGCTGATGAATAAAAACAGCAAAATGTACGAATGCCCAGATAAAACGATTCAAAAGTGTATGGGAGCCTTTACTATGCGACAAATTAGCCGTAAAATTATGCATGCGTAAATGTATACATAAATCTGCATTTAGCCTATTAAGAGAGGCTAGCACGTTTTTGCAAACTTAGCAGATTTCAGCAAATTTTTTTAAGTATCGGTGGCCCCTTCACCATCTTTTGCAAATGGTACTTACAGTCGTTTTGCTGACCGTCTAGGGAGAAGGGCTCATTTCGACAAATTGTTTTCCTGCACAGCCATGCACAGTTTGGGAAGGCCGCTTAGGAGAAGCATTTATGCGTATAAAATATATATATGTGCGTAGACATATATACGCTTAGCACCATTAGAAAATAACGTGGACGGGGGCAGTAGCGTTTTGCAAGGGGGGAAGAGAACACCAGGCATCCGACAAGCGTCAAAATATATATACATCTATATATACGTGCGCACATACCATTCTTCTCACGTGAAGCGATCAAAGTGACTGACCCAAGTTAGCTACAGGGGTGGAGAGAAAGGCAGTTATGCGGCGTGTTTTTTGACCCTCGAGAGGCCATTCGTCCATTCGTACAACGTGAAGGGATCAGCTGCTTTATCGTTGAGAATTCATCGAAGACTTTTGTTTTTAGCCCACACGTGGCACATTTTATTTCCTTGTCTTCCGCGTAATTTTTTTACATTACGTTTTTTTTTTTTTGTTATTGTAATTTAGTAATTTTGTCGAGCAAGCCCTTTGCACGCCGTCATCTGGCTCCCATGCGAAATGTGAACTCTTCACCAAGTGTTTATGCTTGTCTGCTTGAGATTGTATATTTCTACGTATGTGTGGATAGCTCCACGACCGCAGGGGTGAATGGCCGCATGATCGCATAACCGAGTGACCGAATCGACGTGTCCCCGCGTGAGGATAGGTGCCACTCCGACCGCAACCGCCGCAAAGGTGTCTGAAGGAGGCGGATTCTGGATGTCCACCCGCTTCACCCGAATTAATGAGCATAGCGGCGAAGTGGGGCTGGCGTGACCGTGACGTGGCAGTGACGTTGTAGCGACATTGAGTCGACGTAGAAGCGACGCCCAAACCAGTGCCGAAGAATATGCCAGCCCAAGATGATAGACGCCCTGTACATTTTTTTCATAAACGGGCAATTGCTAATACAGAGGAACTACCGAAACGTGACGAAAAAGAACGACCTGAATCACTACATAAACAAATACATAAAAACGAAGAGATTCTTCGAACACCCAATAATCGAAATAAACAATGTCTTCTTCCTAAACGTGAGCATAAACGAAATTGTCATAACGGTTCTAACCAGGAGCAACTCGAACATCTGCCTCATCTTCAACTTTATATATAAATTTATAGAAATATTAAATTACTTCTTTAACCAGGAAATTTCGGGAATAAATATAGTGAACAACTTTGTCCTGATTTACGAAATATGTGATGAAATAATTGACTACGGATATCCACAGACGTTGGAAGTAAATATTTTAAAGAATAGCCTCCTGAATAAGGTCAAATATTACAGTAGGACTTCTAAATACTTTCAGAAGCTGTCAAATGAGCTACGGAATCCAAACTGTGTGATTGAAGATATTGTACATGACACGAATATACAAAACCAGAATGAAGGACTGCACATGAAATATTATAATGGAAATAATAAAGATTCGTACAAAAAGAGTGGCATAAAAAATTCCAATAGTTACGAATTAAATGAAAAAAATAAACTAAAATATATAGGGAAGGAAACGCTGAACCGAATTAAAAATAGAATAATTAACAATAGTAAACCATCGAATAATTTTAATTACATAACGGGGAACTGCACTTGGAGAAACAACAACATTTATTATAAAAAAAATGAAATATACATTGACATATTGGAAATACTGAATGTTACAATAAATAGCAACAATTTGATATATGCTCATATCAATGGAAAGGTCACACTGAAATGCTTCCTCTCAGGGATGCCTATATGTGAACTGAGCACAAACAATAAGATTAACCTTCTTAACAATGTCAGTAATGCCTCCACTGGGTATAATCCCCCTGGTGGGAATAATCATCCCAATAATGCGGTTTCCGCGAATAGTAGCTCGAAAAATGGCGCAAAGGGAAAATCCAATCAAAGCAATAGCAAGAGGAAAAACACAAGTGAAGAAAAGGAAACGGACGATATCATTATTGACAACTGCATTTTTCATCATTGTGTGACGCTTTCCAAGTATGAAAATAGTAAACTCATTACCTTCACCCCCCCGGATGGTACATTCGAACTCATGAAATACACTATTACCAAAAATATACAGATACCCTTTCACATTATAGCTATATACAACCCCATACTGCAGTACTCTAAATCGTTGGAGAGAAAATTCTCCCTCAAAAAACTCACAAATAATAGTAAAAATATCTATGGGGACTATAAAAATACAAACAGGTACGAATACGCTGTTACCATTAAATCAAATTATAAGGGAAGTATGTATGCCACGGACGTTGTGATAAAAATTCCTATTTATAAATTCTCTGAAAATGTTGAAGTGAAATATAAATCAACTGGAAAAACTGAATTTAACAACATTGAGGGAATAGTCACCTGGAGAATTAAAAAATTTTCGAGCTCAAGTGAACATAACATTAAGATATATTTAACGCTTGAAAATCAAAACCAAATTTACTCCAACATGAACAATACACAAAAGGTGGACCACTTGTCCAAGGTTGTTTTACAAGTGCACAAAGTTAAGAATATGAATACCGTCAAATTTTTAAATACCTACAAAATGCCCATCACGCTAAGTTTTAAAATCCCCATGTTTACTTCCAGTGGCATGTATATCAGATACCTTAAAGTTTTCGAAAAATCCAATTATAAAATTATTAAGTGGATTAAATATTTAACCGAGTCTGGTATATACCAATACAAGTGAAACAAGTTTGTGATGTTTTTTTTTTTTAAAGTGCACACGCCCCATGCGCATGGACGCATGGGTGTGTGTTTATTGGCACGGATATCCACCCCAAGGAGCACGAAGTCGAACACAACGTACGGATATGCACAGG